CTATACAGAATTTAATTAAAAAGAATGCAATTTCGATTCATCTGTTTTATCTCCCTCCTATTTTTAAATACTGACTTGTAGTGTAATTGACTTAAATACCAAATTATTTCCTAAATGCTTTTTACAATTTGACAATTCGATGATTGTGCAGTCTTGGTAATACACGGGACAAAATTGGGTAACACCAATGACTTATTTAAACTAACTTTGAAATTTACATTTTGAAAATAAAATATAATGTGTAAAGTTTATCAAAAATAATATATCAATAATATTTGTTTCATCTGATCATATGTTTTACATATAATGTTTCATACATGCTACAAATTAATTCAATAATCGATACAAGTAACACAAAGGACAAATTTAGTAACTCCATGGACGTCAAAATGATGAAACATTTACATTATAAATATACTCTTGTATTTACACTTGTTTCAGCAGTAGAGTAGAGAGTCTTTATTTATTTCGAGTAAAATGAAATATCAAAATGTCTTGTAAAATACATCTTTACGCTCTTTTAACCTTGTAATACTTAGCTGTGGTAACATTATAGACAAATTCAGTTACTCAAGGGACACGGCAAGCATTTAAGATAGAAAAATGAAATAAAAATATCACATATGAAGTCGTAATTGTGTTCAATGTATAAAAGAAAATAATTGTGGAGAGATGGTACAATTTAAGTTACATTAAAAATAATGAAGGCCTTAAAAATGAGATGATTAAAGTGGTAACTCCAGGGAAGGTTAGGAACACAAGGGAATGTGAAGTAAGAAACCACGATTTTATGACAGATGACATGTTTTTACTCTGAAGCCTGTTGATTCTATGTCATGTTCTCTCGATGAAAATATTGGAAGGACGAAACATTTCAAAAGTTGTAAAAAAGAGGGCCAGACAAGTGAAATCTAGATCCAAGGAACCTTCAAAGTAACGTCAGATAGAGAACATTTGACTTTTTTGGAATGTGTATGTCCGACAATGAAATAGTTTCGGATTTTTCTTCACTATATCAAAAGCGATATCAAAAGATTATCTTTCCGAGGAACAACGCATCAGTCACCAATCATGAATTTATGTTTGAATGTAGATGAAGATACTCTTCATGCAGATTTATCTAATTAATTTTCCCCATAAAGGTTGAAAATTGTTTGTAAACCTTGCACTATAGAAGTATATTAAAGCTTTTGGAAATGAAGTTAGAGCAGCTGAAGTAAGAGTGGACATTACAGTAGAGGCAGTACTTTATATGGATCTCTATCTTTTGAACCCAGCATATCTTGAAATTTATATCAAACAACAAATAGGCATTGGGCAAAGGTATATTCTTTTTATTCTGGTGAGTATACATACAGCTGATCAACACCTATAACATAAAATCAAATAATATTAATTTATGAATAGGAAAGGCAGATAGTCAGGGTTTTAGTGGACAAAAGAGTTCATATTAAGAGAAACCAGAGCAACCAGAGTTCCAGAATTGAGAAAAATTCGAATAAAAATACTGAAAAACTGAGACCCCGGAAAAGAAACTTAGATAAAAATGCTGAAACACAGAGCCATCTGAACTTCAGAATACATACATGTGTGATCAAAGCAGTAATGAAAATAAGAAACTAAATACGACCAAAAACTGTAAAAGATGAATATTAGTACAACATAGGTGATGTTTTGGTTATAATTCGTCCTCCACATCCTGTAGGAAGAAAGTATCAAATAGATAGCCCAGTGTGGAAGGAGGCTGTATGTAAAACAACAAACAAAATGAGATGTCCTTTGTGTTATCTTTTGTCTTTGGTGTTACAACTTCTTTTTGGATATACAAATACTTGTACATGTACTGATCAGTGATTCTAGGTCCTATGATAGTAATCCTTCATTATTCATGCATAAATTATTTTTATATTTTGTTGATGTTCACGTATCTTTATAATTAGACAATTATGTCTATGTTGTTACTTTTTTATCATTGGTGTTACATGTCAGACTCCAAATGTAAAAAGAAATGAAATCCCAAGAAATATTTTTCTTAAAACAATATACTTTCATTAACATCTATAAGATAATGCCATTGTTGTGCTTTTTGCGGGGGAAGGGGAACAAATTTATTATTTCTTCTTAAGGTTTGAACAAAATGTCTTTTGTGTTACTTTTATGTCCTTTGTGTTATGAAAATATCCTTGGTGTTACTAAACCATTTTTCCTAAATTCATACTCTAAATCTTTCCACAATTTTATCAAAACTTGCTACACAATCCTGTTGTCTTCTAATACAAAGTATATCCGCAAAGCCAGTAGTTCATGCTGAGGTAAAATGACATATGCTTAAGGTATATTTGTTAGAATAATCAAATTTTATAATTTTAACAACTTTCAGCTTTATGTCATCTGAAATTTCTCTCTTAAGAACCCTCAATTTGTTTTGATAGAATATTTTTTATAAGGATGTTTAGATTATGATTCTAGAAACCTTAAATTTTTGTAAATTATTATTTTATTGCGACTTCTAAGTAAGTAACACCATGGACATTTATTGTTGAATTCATGTACTTATAATAGATTTTATAATAAATGTTGATAGAATTCTTAGTGTTTCAACATTATTTACGCATCTCTGATGTTTCATTACTAACATAAAACTTTAAAATATTTAGTTCTCAGAATTTATTTTCTCTAAATTCTGTTGATGGAATCTGAACAAAATTTGAGATTGACCCATATATATTTATACCTATGAGATGTATGCCTCTTGGTTTTAATAAAATCTGAAATCATTAATCACAAAGTTTGTCCTTTGGACCAATTATCAGCTAGCTGTTTTTGTCAGATTCCATCCGTCGACCTAAACATTTTCAGTTTCTCTGAAACCAATTGATCAATTGGAAGTTTTTGAACCAAATTTTATATATAAATACTATTCTATTCTATTCCCTCCCTCTCTCTCTCTCTCTCTATATATATATATATATGCTCCTCTCTCACGCACATATAAAATATGTTGTTAAGGGACAAAACCATAAAAAAACCATGGTTAAAATTCCCTGGCAGCCGCGTAGCTGCATATACGGAAGTACGCAAGTGCGTACACACTACTTGTATTTGATTTTTTTAAATTAAATCGTTACCGAGACCAAATAAATCATTCATTAATTTGTTAATTAAATATCAAATATCAATCACATCGTTGAATGCTATGATATACTAGTATCTTATTTGAAATGCAATATTTTTGTTAATAACATTTCTTGAATTAAAGTTCCATAACGTCGTTGAATGCTTTGATAAGGTAGTTTTTAAAATACAATATTAGTATTATTATTAATTATTATTTTTTTGTTAATAACATTTATTATACTTGTTGCTGAGCGTTACAAATAGAGTAGACGATACCGATATATCGGTAAAATATTCAGCCTCTACTATACCTACAATGTTCAACGGAAATACTAACTTTGCGTTAAAAACAATATTATCATCTTTTATTTTCTAAAGAAACCCCAAATAGCATGATTTTTTAAAAGAAAAATGATTGAAATATTTAGCCTACAGCATACTTAGCGGACACAAAAAGGATTACCGTAATAAGAGCAATTTTCCATACTTCCTAATTTTGATGAATTTTCATGGAATTTTACAAACTTTTTGATTTGGAAAGGATAGTTTCTAGCAAACAGATCTGTTCTAGATTTTCATTCACAACTCTCACATACAAAATGTATCTGATACTGGTCAAAACATTTCTTAAATATACCAGGTAAGCTTTTTGTGCATTGTATCTTAAAACTGACGGGAAAAAATGAGGAAATTCGGAAATCAGAGGAATTCTCGTGACCATACTCCTCGGAAATAGGCCCTCACCTATTACTATAAGTATCAAGTTATCCTTTCTCTAGATAGATTTTAACTGTGTGTAAGTTTATGTACAATCTTCTTAAAATAATACAACTATGATCAACATTCGTGAGGAAGTGTTTTTATGCCCCCGTAATCAAAGATTCGGGGGCATATCGATTTTGCCCTGTCCTTTCTTTTATCTGTCTGTTTGTCCGCAAAAACTCCTTGCCCATAACTTTTGATTGGTTGGAGTTGTGACTTTCATATTTCACGTGTGTATTTCTTGTGATAAGACCTTACTTTGGGTACCAACATATTTGGCCTCTTGACCTTGACCCACTTTTGCAAATTTTACCAAACTCTAACCTTGGTCATAATTTTGAACAGTTGGTACTAGAGCTTTCATATTCCTTGTGAAAAGACCTTTCCTTGGGTATAAATGTTTTTCACCCTGACCTTCACGTTTGACCTACTTATGAAAATCTTTAACCTTGGTCATAACTTGTGAACGGTTAGTACTAGGGCTTTCATATTTCAAAGGTGTATTCCTTGTGACAAGACCTTTCTTTGGGTACCAACAATTTTGACCATTTGATCATAACATTGGAGATTGACCTACTTTTGAAAAACTTTATCCTTGGCCACAACTTTTGAACAGTTGATTCTAGGGCTTTCATATTTCACGTGTATTTCTTGTGACAAGACCTTCCCTTGGTCACCATCAATTTTGACCATTTGAGCTTGACCTTCATGTTTGACCTACTTTTGAAAAACTTTAACATTTCCCATAACTTTTTCAATGGTTGGTGCTCCAACTTTCACATTTCACTGGTATATTCCTTCTGAAAAACCTTTCTCTAGGTATGAACATTTTTTACCTCTTGACCTTGGAGTTTGACTGGCATTTGAGAAACTTTAACCTTTGCCATAAGCTGCCATACAGGGGCATCAGTGTTTCACAAACACATCTTGTTTTTTACTTCACTAAATTTCCAACAGGGAAAAGGAAGATTTGGGGGGGGGGGGGGTATATTATTCTTCACCCATCATTTTCTAAAAAAAATTATGTTAACAAAAGTTAACACAGGAAATTATTATATCTAGTTTACAATTTCAAAAAAAAGTAACTTCTTTATGAATATGCTATTCAAACAACAACAGGATCATTATTTCATTATTTTTAATTTTCATAAATTTCAAATTAAATACAGACTTCTCTGTATTTGTACACATGAAGCAACAACCAATCCTCACACAGTTCATCAGAGATTCATATCTTTCATATTCCCAACACACGCACACACATCAACATACTTGTTAAAATGACACCAGCATATGAAAACTCAGAAATTTACATGTAGATAGATATTAAAACACATTTTGAAGGCAGTCATAAAAACTCAACATAATTTACATTGCTTCAAAATCACCAGTCATACATACAAAAGGTAGACTTGTCTTTTATACACAAAGGATATTCAACAAACTCATCAGTGCTCAGAATTAGACATACAAAATCATATTTATAATTGCTCAATTCATATTGTTAATCCCCCCTCCCACATTTCTCTTTATAGAAACATTTAGCAAAGTTGAAGATTAGTGTCTTAATTTTCAACTGAAAAATAATAAGGGAAAAGTTTTACAAATTTCTGGTAAAGCACACATAAATCTTTGACAGTTTGAAGTCAATATAATTTTACAAAGGGAAATCTAAAATTACTTTTCAAAGAAATCCTATTTTTTTTTCCTTTTAAGAACAATTTTTTCCCTGTTTCTCTTTGAATGATTAATATGGCTTCTTGTTATATAATAGCTCACTGTTTATTGTAGTGGTGTAGGTGTCACCTGACTCTGCGTAGTAATACAATAAATCCGAGTAGAAGAGCGAGGAATGTCATTAAATAGATATCCCAGTCAGGTCCCAAGTGAAATCGAGGGTCCAGCTTAGAAAAAATTCTTTGGTAATCCTCAATCTGCAAAAAATAAATAAATTGTCAAAATTTTGTGGCTACCCTTCACTCAGTAGCATAGGAAAAAAATAATAAAACTTGTTGGCAGACTTTTGAGGACCGTTGTAAGTACATTGTACTTATAGCAATAATTCACTATTTCTGTATCAATGCTAGAGATCTGTAAATTCTGAAGAATGAATATTGGTATTCCTGATGTTTATCATACAGAAAGGTTATGACTTTTATACAAACCATGGATTATCAGAAGATGTTGTATTTCTAATGCTTAAATCTGAACAAAACACAATTAAGGTCAAGATCTAGTAAATGTCTTTAGACTAACTTTTTGGTGCTAGATCCATTATGACGTCATAATCACTTTCAACTTTCTTTTTCCCGTACTTTACGGCTCTAATTGAATTATGTAGAAAATAAAGTATTTTCATGGAATTCAATTTGAAATCACATGAAAAGTAGTCCCGATACCTATATTAAATTTTACATTGTTTTAAAGAAGAGGCCAAGAACATACAAATTACCGTTTTCTGAAAGATTGTAGGCAATCTGGATACATTTTTTTGTATGATATGGAAAAACTCCCATATTCATGACTGGTTTTCTTAATTTTTCAATGGAAATGACAATTTAAAACATTATTTTTCATCTTGTTTACCCACAAATTGTGCCCCGAAACACATCATTTGACCAAGCTAAAGTTATAAAGCATCATTAAAGGAATTCATTTCTTAAATTTGATATATCTGTAGGCACCTTTCATTTACTAGATCTTGACCTTAAGCCATATGGATCAAGTGTATACCGTGTAAACACCCTTAAAAGTCCTTCCAAAAACCAGAGTTACTTCTATGAAAAGATAATATATAGCATAAAATCTCTAGAATATTGCTTGTACTCAATATTACAAATTAACATGAAATGTGAAGATAAAGAACAGTAATAATGCTCAAAAATCCCATCAAACAATACAAAGTGTGAACAGTCAGTAAACATGGACCTTTGGAAACAGAGGTGGGATCAGGTGCTATGGAGGAGTGAGCATCCCCTGTACACTGGTCACACCTGCAGTGTGCCCCTTATTGATTGGGTATAAATGGAAAAATCTGTAGACAATTCAGTGTGAAAATGATGGCCTAACAATTTGCATGAAAGACATAAGCCAACATTCAATGATAAATTGTATTTCCAAACAAGGTCATTGTGTATTGTATTGACCACAGAATTTGCGAAATGCTGATTTTAAACAAGAGGCCCATGGGCCACATCGCTCACCTGAGTAACTTTGGCCATGCTGTTCTTTACCAGATTTCCCCCCTTTTAGTATACCTATTGTGGCCCCACCCTACCCCTGGGGGTCATGATTTGAACAATTTAGATTCTACACTACCTCGGGATGCTTCCAAATAAGTTTCAGCTTTATTGGTCCAGTGGTTCTTGAAAGGAAGATTTATAAAGATTTTTCTTAAATATTTCAATGTAAAACTTGGATTCCCTATTAGGGCCCTGCCCTACCCCCAGGGGTCATGATTTGAACAATTTAGATTCTACACTACCCCAGGATGCTTCCACATAAGTTTCAGCTTTTCTGGCCCAGTGGTTCTTGAGAAGAAGATTTTTTAAGATTTTTCCTATATATTTCAATGTAAAACTTGGATTCCCTATTGTGGCCCCGCCCTACCCCCGGGGGTCATGATTTGAACAATTCATAATCTACACTACCCCAGGATGCTTCCATATATCTTGAGAAGAAGATTTTTTAAGATTTTTCCTATATATTTCAATGTAAAACTTGGATTCCCTATTGTGGCCCTGCCCTACCCCCGGGGGTCATGATTTGAACAATTTAGATTCTACACTACCCCAGGATGCTTCCATTTAAGTTTCAGCTTTTCTGGCCCAGTGGTTCTTGAGAAGAAGACTTTTAAAGATTTTTCTTATATATTTCAATGTAAAACTTGGATTCCCTATTGTGGCCCCGCCCTACCCCCGGGGGTCATGATTTGAACAATTTAGATTCTACACTACCCCAGGATGCTTCCATATAAGTTTCAGCTTTTCTGGCCCAGTGGTACTTGAGAAGAAGATTTTTTAAGATTTTCCCTATATATTTCAATGTAAAACTTGGATTCCCTATTGTGGCCCCGCCCTACCCCTGGGGGTCATGATTTGAACAATTTAGATTCTACACTACCCCAGGATGCTTTCATATAAGTTTCAGCTTTTCTGGCCCAGTGGTTCTTGAGAAGAAATTTTTTAAGATTTTTCTTACATATTTCAATGTAAAACTTGGATTCCCTATTGTGGTCCCTCCCTACCCCAGGGGGTCATGATGTGAACAATTTATAATCTACACTACCCCAGGATGCTTCCATATAAGTTTCAGCTTTTCTGGCCCAGTGGTACTTGAGAAGAAGATTTTTAAAGATTTTTCCTATATATTTCAATGTAAAACTTGGATTCCCTATTGTGGCCCCGCCCTACCCCCGGGGGTCATGATTTGAACAATTTAGAATCTACACTACCCCAGGATGCTTCCATATAAGTTTCAGCTTTACTGGCCCTGTGGTTCTTGAGAAGAAGATTTTTTAATGACCCCACCCTATTTTTGTCTTCTCTTGATTATCTCCCCTTGTGAGGGGACTTGGCCCTTCATTTTAACAATTTAAATTCCCCTTCACCCAAGGATGCTTTGTACCAAGTTTGGTCAAAATTGGCCCAGTGGTTCTTGAGAAGAAGTCAAAAATGTGAAAAGTTTACAGACGGACGGACAGACAGACAGACGGACAGACAGACAGACAGACGGACGGACGGACGACGGACAAAATGTGATCAGAAAAGCTCACTTGAGCCTTCGGCTCAGGTGAGCTAAAAAAAAGATTGATATCCTTGTATTATCAGCTTATTTTCAGTAGCCTGCATTATTTTAGAAATTGTTCATATGTAGAACATGCTTTTGCGTATCAAATCAACTGGGAGACATAAGCCCAATATGCAGGTGATAATATCCATTCCAAAACATTTCTTTTCTAACCCCCCCTTTCTTTGCTTTATTTGAAACAAAGAAACTACCTCGATTTGATTCAAGTGAATGATAACCCCTCTTGTTTTGAGAACTCTTTAAATCAACCAATATCTTACAAAAATATTACTGAATATAAAAAAAGATTTTTTTTTTTACACTTTGATCAAGACTACAGTCAATGATCTTGGATGAGTAATATGACCCCATTGTTTGAATGATTCTTTCACTCAATTAACATAGGGTGTTAACCATGCATCGGACACATACCTTGCTTCGGACAACTTTAAGCAATAAACTTTCATTGAACCTGAGTCTCCCCGTGTTTTTACTTGTTTCTGTCTTAAAGATGAAGAATTAAACTTTTTAATGATGTCGATTTTTATTTTCATGTTGTGATAAAAATACCACAAGAATGGCCTTGAAATTAGGTCATATTTTGCATCATCAAAGGAAAGTAACCAGAATTTTACGATTTTGCAATTTTTAGAGTTATCGTTCTTTCAAATAGGCGTCAACGGAACGGGTCGGACCTTGGTAAAATTTGCCAATGATTATTAATATTACAGAAATTTTTCAAAAATTTTACTTCAATGTTTGTATAATATATTTTAGAGTTGTTTTTAACCAGTATGTTTATTTCACCATACATCGGACACAAATTAACCATGCATCGGACACTTTCCGATGCATGGGTAATCACTTCCATTTTCATGTAAAACCCAAATGACAGATAGAAACTCTAATTTTTCAGTGAAAATACAAATTATCGATATATGACGACTAGAAGTGGACTCAATTTATTTCTTTAAACTAGATGATTATAACCCACGAGACAAAGGCGCGAATTGCCATATTACTAGCATTGTAAAGCCTTTCTAAGGCATGTGATGCAACTAAAATCTCTTCATATTTGTGGATTAAATTGAAATAGTCATTCAAATTTAATTAGAAGGTTAATTTTTAAATAAAAGATAAAAATGTTTCAATATCACTAATTTTAAAGCACCGAGATCAAGGTATGACATTTTCTGGTTTAAATATCGTATATCCGATGCATGGTGAATATTGTCCGATCCATGGTGAATTCTGACTTATTTCGAAAAAATCGGTTTTTAATGATATTTTCTTAATAAATAGGGCACGCTTGTGTGAAAAATTTATATTTTAACCACATACTACATGTTACATTCCATTTTGATAATATTCGGTCGGTAGCGATATCGCTAGAACTTGTTGAAGTGCAAGGGTGTCCGATGCAAGGTGAATTCACCCTTATATTTTTAGTGTAGTTATCATCTCTAAAATACAAAGTGCATACCATAAAGTTCTGGATAAAAAAAAATCAATGTAAATGATTTTAAAAATAGTTTTTTGGATAGACTCATCAGTTTTCTTTTTTTAACCCAAGCATTTGGGTTCAATTACATTAAAAAAATAAACTTCAGGCTGATTCCAAATAAATAACAATCACCATCTGTAACTGAGAGGGTTAATACTCTACATACAATTTATGGAAGTTTTTTGTCCTTTCTATCTCTTATCAATTCATGATAAAAATGTAAAATCAAGATTAAAAAAAAAACATTATCAATGTAGAACATTTATTCCTACATTGGAATGTCAGATTTGTGCAGATGATATGAATACCCAGCATTTTTGTATCTCACTGTGAAGTTTTTATTGATAATCAATGATTAGACTAGACAACTGATGAGATATTTACCAGAAAACATTGTAAATCTTCCCTTGATTATGAATAACTCTTCTCTTGATTTTGTAATTAAAGATAATATTGACCTGTACTCGGACACCACATGCATTGAACAGCACTCAACAACACTTCAATGAAATTACAGTATAGTATAACAAAGTATTGGACAATAGCAGCACTGATGCCCAGACAGATAAAAGAGCTAAATCTGGGAAGTCAAATATCACAAAACAAAATCCTTAATGCCTAAAGTCAACACAGACTGGAGACTAGATAAAGTATATCAACAATGTTCACAGTCAGTCAAGAACAGCTCTATTCAAATCAATCAGTGCAGCAGGCAATCTATCCTTATCTCCCATGGACTCCAAGTTCTGACAGAAAAAGCATTCCCTCATCTCTTGTCTTCCTATTACTAATTACGTCAAAACAAATTGCCTGACATCCAAAATGACAGCTAATACTTAAGTGCTCATATGAATAACTTGATGTCAAGATATATAATAAAACAATTGGGAAGGGGGGGGGGGGGGGGGTCCGAGGCTTCAAAGAAGCTCAATTTCTACTTGGTAAAAGTTGCATATACATTGAATTTTAATTGTTTCAAAACCAAGTACTGACTTAATCAATCATTGTACCTTAAAATTATGAGAAAGTTAAATGAAAATTTAGCTATACGGCATACATTATCAAAATAGAATATTTACCTACAAACTAAAGGTAGGAGTTCATTTACAGAGTATGTGGCCTTGACCTATATGCACGCAAGCAGAGATAACAGAGTATTTGGCCTTGAACTGCATGCATTCAAAGCTGAGATAACAGATTATGTGGCCTTGACCTATTTACATTCAAAATTGAGATAATAGAGTATGTGGCCTTGACCTTGAGGTAAGGCATTGAGAGATGATTTCTGTAAATATTCAATGTCACAAAAAACAATATCTGATGAAAATTCACTTAATTTGTGGCTATACATTTCAATCATCTTGACCCCCTGAAAATCAACACTGATAACCATCTAAAATGATATAGAATTACTAGTAATCCAAGAACTGATCATGTGCTTCTGAACTTTTCTCTCCTTCCTTTTTTTTGGTCCAACTTCAAGTCTTTGACTCTCAAGAACTGACAAAAGGAATTGTTTTACATATGCCTACCAAATTCAAACCAATTAATGATTGTGTAACAGGAAAGGAGAAAAATGATAAACCAGACTAGGATTGGAACCCAGGTGTGGTAGTCAGACAAATTTTCTTCTTCCAAAACTCAGATATCTTTGCTTAAATAGGTACCTCTCAAATTAAAGAAGTGATATCTCTTTTAAACAAACAACTGTTGTTTGACCGAACCACATAATATGATGAAGAGTTGGAAAATTTTAATTTACAGTATAATATAATTTTTAGAAAAATATGAAGTTTTGTTTCTGGAAACATTTTCAAAAGTCTTCTTTTTTTTTTCAACATTTACACAATTAAATTTCCTATTTAGATTTCAATTTAAAGAAATATTAAAAACTAGAAATATGTCCATAGATGGTGAATGCCTCACCCACAGTACATTAGTAATGCAACATGAATATCTGTAGAAGTGTTTAAATTTTGTTGAAAATATCTTAAATAGTTTCTTTAAATCTGAGTTTTATAAACAATAAATAGTAAAGTCAAAGATGATTGGGAAGGTCAAGGTAAAAAAAAGAAAAAAATTTGGATACAGTCCATAAATTCTTACCCAATTATGTATCAGTGCATAAGCTTACATAAAAATATCTTGGAAAAGTTCTTTGAATCTGAGCTAAATGCAAACCTAAGAAAAATGAGATCAAGGTTAAAGGAAAGATCAAGGTCAAAAAATTTGATGTAGTTCAATAGCACTCACCAAAATGTATCATCATATAAAGTTTGATTTTTAAAAAAATCTTGTTTTATTACTTAAAATTGAGCTAAAAAAAAAAATTGGGAAAAAAGAGTTCAAAAGAAAGGTCAAGGTAAAAAATTAGTTGATTGCAATTGAATAGCTCTTATCACTATGTATAAGCATATGAAGTTTAACAAAAATATCTTGAATACTGGTAATTTTTTTTTGAAACTGAGCTAAATTAATGCAAAGGGTGACAGAAGGATGGAAGACGGACATGACAAACACTATATGTTCTCGTCATATTCATGGCTGGCCATTAAAAAAGCAATGTAACTTTTAAGTGTGGAAGATAAGAAAATTTGGTATGGTATGTATCATTAAAATCATGATAAATAAGTTAATGCTCTAAAGGAAATTTTTTGTGCATCTTGGAAGTTTTACTTTCATTTTTGTTTATGTAACGTTACATCATATGGGCTATATAAGATTTTTTTTTTTCAAAAGGTTCTGTTGTTTTTATATACTGGCAATATCCAACAGGGCAATCTAATAAAGATGACTGAACTGATCTTTCTTTATTATTCTTTTCTTTAATTAAATTACAGGTGGATCATTTTCTCTATTTTTTAAAGAAATTTTAAAGTCAACTCTTAATTGTGTCCCATTAAGTTTGATCTCATACAAGTACATCTTCATCATAGTTTTATCCAGATCAGTCATCTATAAGATTAAACTTCTCCAGTATTAACTGCCGGCTACTCTGCTTAAAGTTCATCTGATTGAATTACACAACAAACTTCTAGTATCTATATATTTCATCCCAGTCCTCCAAATAATCAGAACAAGATTTGATCAACTGGAATTGTGACATTAATGTTCTGTAGTGATAGTAAATCAATCTGATTTTACACATTACTCTTAATTTGTGACATTTCCTGATCCCAGTGCTTTAAAAAACTTCATAATCAAGTAACCTGCTTAATGTGTAACACAGAGAATTTCCTACGCCACTGATTTGTCATGCACTCTAGGGGTCACATTAGCTTGTATGTCTCATCAGGGAAGGGGACCAGTTCTGTTTATCTCCTACTTCCGACATAAAACCTAATGAATTCCAAGGAACTGAAGCATTCTGAAATTATCACAAATTACTGTTTTTTGTGTTTAGTGAGAAAAAATCTGATAAGCTGAATTCCTCCTGAAACAATGCAATATGGTAGTCAGACTTAGCACCCTGTGACATATATTCCTCTATGAGGAACTTCTGGCAAGGACAATAAAGCAGGCAATAATACTTAGAGATCACAGAAAAAAGGCACTTGAATCAATATACATTCACTGTTTTGTGAAGTAGCAGGCCATTTCCTAACAGCTCAACAGCACCTACACACCTCTTCTTACAGATTAGCACTCAATACTCTAATAGGCTCCTTCAAAATATGTTTCACAGCAGAATTTCATTCATAAAAGCTAACTGTTTAAGATTGATAAACAATATTACCACATCTTAACTTGTAATACGAGATATTCCTGGCTTTACAACATATTTTTGCCTACACAGTTTGGTGGCTTCTCTGTACAGGATTTTTACTCCATTAAAGTGTTACAGGACACAGGGTTTTTCTCCTAACTTTGGTCTCTTTGATCATTCACAATGACAAAAGATTTGTTGTAATGTACAGGAAATAGACCATAACTTTTATCTGTCTAAAAATAAATTTCCCTCAAGCATAAATTAGTATGTGTATATTGAAAGAGATATTAGTTTAGCACCTAAATTACAGACAGTTTACAAATTACTGCAGTCTACAACACTAAACACTGTACGCTTTTTTCTTTACCCCTTTGTACACTGTTCCCCAATTTCTTTACCCATCTTTACTGTACTCCGATTTCTTTGCCCCTTTTTAGTCCCCTACCGGTGAAACCGGAGGGGACTATAGGTTTCCTCTGAGTCTGTCCGTCCGTCTGTCTGTCTGTCCCTCTGTCTTTCTGTCAGTCTGTCCCACTTGGTTTTCCGCACTCTTTTCCTAAACGCTTCCAGATATTGAGCTGATTTTTGGCATGTGGCTTTACCTTGATTAGTTATAGATCAAGTTTGCATTTCGTCCCGCTTCATTAATTTTTGACGGAATTATGGCATTTTCAATTCTTAACGGGAACCAGATTACACTTGCCGGTAGGGGACTAGTATTGCTAATGCAATACTCTCAGAATGCTTGTTTACTTATTGCATGACTTTCTAGAATCAGCATTATCTGCTTTTGCATCCTCAAAATAACAAATCACCTCTACACCCAAGTATACACTAAATCAAATCTACAGCAAGATTGGTTCAACATATCTATATAAATACATATTATCTCTTAACCTAATAAGAATATCATATTTATTCAATACAACTGAAGATTTTACCAAGGCAAGAATTTGATAAATTGTCAATTGATGATGTAGAGGACTTTTGTGACATACTAATGGTAGAAGTACAAGAAAGTTGTACTTTTGATTTTCCAAATTTAAACCTGCAAAAATGACCTCTCATGTGAATACTCTATATAGATTTTCATCTGATTTTCATTCATCTTCTATCCCTTGAGTAAGCATTTTTTAAATACATCCTTGATCTTTAATTTATTTCCCACACTAGATGTTTCTATGTAGATACACATCTTATCATCATAACCTTTTTATCCCTAATTCAATTTCTACTTTTCCTCTCCATATGAAATTATTTCTGTGAAATTTAATTAATCAATACAGAAATGTTAGCAGTGCAGCCAAACTTGTGACCTGCCCATCACTTTCCTCTGAACCTATTTGACTTCTATCAGCTTATCTGCGAATTGAAAACAAGATTGCATGACACATCTATCTAAATCAAAACCAGTGACTGAAGTTGAGGGGTTGAAAGGGGGTGAATCCTTAGAAAGTGCTGCAGACCTCCTTTACAATAACAATAAACATGGATACAAAAATACAATTACCACCTTAAAATAGATCTCAAGCTCTCAGCGTGAACATAAGTGATGCAGAATAAACTTATGTCTAGACAAGACGTACCACCGTTTTTACACAATACTAATCTACAAATATCTCAAGCTTGTGATCGGGTGCCAGTGACTGCTATTTTAACACCTTTTCTACAATAATTAAGTAAATAAATGAAGATATACTTACCTCTTTACTAAATACATCTAAACCATAAAATAAACCAAGTTTGATGAGAGCTAGGGAGACAGGAATGTGAGCATCCACACTGGTTTCTGCTGCCATGTCATAAAACCTTTTGGCCAAGTGTACGTCCTAAAACAAAACTTCACTTTTAATTTTCAATGTCAAGCCATTCTGACATATTTCTTATATATTTTTTTCAGATTGAAATTTATGTAACTTCAGAGGTATTAAAACTTTATTACTACATTATTTTTCAATACTGTCATTGCATTTCAAAGCCATACTTAAAATAGAACGTTTATTTTGAAATTTATTTGAGGGGAGGGGGACAATCTGACAGGGCATAAATTTATAACCAAATAAATAACTAAGTATACCATATATATTACTGACATCCCAATTTAGTAATATATGTAATAGTGTACCTGTTTCAGACCCAGCCCTTGCTCATGCATATATCCCAGATTAAACATGGCCTGGGCACTGTGTTGCTGTTCGGAGGCCAGGCGATAATGACTAGCAGCTGTCTCATAGTCAATCTTTGTACCAAATCCATAGTAATGATAGTCCCCCATCTTAACACGGGCCACAGTGGAACCTTGTGAGGCTGCCCTAGTCCACTGAAGCAGTGCCCTCTCCAATACCTCTGTGTCCTCAAACATCCCAGTATCCCCTGGAAAGACATTCAATTTCTGATGGAGTTCTAAGGCACATTTAACTTTGAAACAAAATGTAGATTAAAATCTCTCTTCAGTTAAAACAGAAAGTGTCTAGAAATTAAAGAAATAAATGAGAATGAATCAGTTACACATAAACTTCCAAAACAACAGGGTATGTTTTAGTAGTTCTATATTGCTTACCTTGATCTAACATATAGGCTACATTGGACTGAGCCACCTCAAACCCTAACTCTGCAAGGAAGACATACTTCATGAGGGCCTGGGAGATGTGACCCTCTTTGTACATATTGTATGCCTCGGGCAACATTTCTGCCCATCGACCTCTCTCTGCCACGTTTTTAAACAGCTGAAAGAGAACACCTTCTGTCAGAATACTGTACGTGTACATAAATTGGCATATTCAAAATTTAGTGCAATCACTGGGTATGGAGTTGTTGGTGAAATCATGAATTAGTGTTATACATGTCCATGCCATAGATTGTATTTATAATTGATTTAGCGGTATTCATGAATTAGCCCATCGTTGTCTGCGCCAAAGCTGCTAAAATATGAAGCCCGCTTTTCTAAGTACACATACAGTATTTTACACTGTCTCAGTCAATATATAATACTGTCCTCATAGCCCTTCCTCATCATAATGGCCACTTTGAAATTTCCCAACAGTTTTCTTTATATATCTACTGTGAACTCATCATTGTTCATGGGGGAACCAAATTTTGCCGATTTCATTGGTTACTGTTATTGATAAATTTACAATTCCATGCACAATAACTTTGTCAACCTATAAGTTCACTGAATTTTCTGTATACTGCATACCAATTTTTATTCACAAGTACTTTAATTTTGCAGAATTATGCGAGCTAGACCACCAGCTCGTGAAAATTTCATTTTTCTATATTTGTATTTCTAGAGAATACATAGAACAATATCCAAGTTTTGTTAAATTATGTCTTGCTTATGGTGAGCAGTGCAAAGCACTGCTCCAGAAGTGAACTTTATAGACTATCAAGTAAGAACAGAGAAAATTTAGAATGAAATCTGTCCATTTTTCAGGCAAATTGTTGTGTGAAACCCTCCCAAAATTCTTTTGCTACCATGACTCCATGCGATAATGGCAAAGTATAACAGCTAGGCTCGCAGTTATTGTGAAGATTTAGTACTTGCAGAGAGCTTAAAAGAAACAAAAAATAACTGCATCTAATCTACAATGCCTTTTATTAAAAACTGCATTATTTAGACTGTTATGGAAATGCAACTTACTTGCGATGTCATGTAACATCACAGTCTAGACTCATGTAGTTTGAAAAGGTGGATCAAAGTTACAAGTGTAAGCTTTGTAAATGTTTTTTGTGCTACAACTTTGCTCGATCTATAGGTCACATGGTAAAACAAATTTTAAAAATACATGTACCATATGATTGTCTCGTGAAAATAATCATACAGTATACAGTATATATTATCCACAAAATATGTCCCCAAGAATCAGTAAAGTTTTGTTTGCCCTAAAACACTGATCCCAATGAACTAAATTGATTCCACATTATGTTAAAACAACCACTCTAGAAAATTCACTCAAATCTTTTCATCCCCATTTGTGATACTGCTTTCAATGGTCAATTTGTCAAAATTATGATGTACAGTAACCTTTCATAACTAGAAATCATCCAGTGTGTTTTTTAAAAAAATTACTACACGGTATTACAGTACTTTATTTTGTACTCGTATTTGATGTTTACAACTTTGAAATACCTCTACTGCAGTGTGACAGTTTCTGAGTACACCTGTACCAGTGGCATGCATCTGAGCAAGATTGTAGAAGGCCAACAAGTGTCCACCCTGTGAGGCCAGGTTAAAATACTTGACTGCCAACTTGTAATCCCGGCGCACTCCTTTACCACCTAGGTAGCCAAAAACAAAAACAGGCAAGTGAAAATCAATGGACAATCTGTTCACTTATTCATGAGCAATTTTCATAAATTAAAATGCCTTTTTTTCTGATTTACAAATAGGTACACAAAATAATGTACAAGTCTTGATGTTAAAAGGAACTGTTTACTAAACACTGAAAACATCAAGGGAAGTTGTATTTAACAGAGCTTACCATAATGCATCAGTGCCAGCTGTAACTGTCCATCTACCCAACCCTGGTCAGCGGCTAAACTAAAATACTTGAGAGCCTTAGTAAAATCCTGTAAAACAGAGATGTATATGTATATAATACAAGAGCACATTTTCCCCTTTCTGCTAAAGTGATCCCAAAAATTGTAAATTTTGAAATCAAGTTTAATGGGAAAAGGGGAAATTAAGTTAATTAAAATATATTTTGATGACCCATATCTCTAGGATCAAACATACAAGAGCAAGAGTTGAACACCATTCACAATAAAAGCTGTATCACTTTTGTGTCATAACTATGTCACATCATTTCACATCTCTTGATAATAAATATTCATAAAATCTTTGTATACAAGCATGTTCATCTAAGGCATGATATCTCACATGTCAAAATAAATGAAATTAAAAGAAAATGATTTGTTTATATATAATATATCATCCATATTTTCTAACTCATATCACTTCGTCAAATGTACAAAAAAGAGCAAACATTGCCACTTTAAATTCATAAAGTCTTATGCATTTTCTTTCTTCTTGGTACAAAAAAATGTCCCCAAGTTCAGTTCATCTGTTTATTTGTTTTTCTAAAAACAGGAAATACTTCATTTAGGAAAATCCATATTTCACCACATGATTTGTGATTTAAAGGATGAATTCTTTCAAAGGTGTGTTTCTCTTTGTGAAAAACCAACATCAAGGATATTCTTTCAACTGCTAGCTTTTCCAAAAAAATGCAGTATATTTTCTTTATTTTCTTGCAAAAAAACAAGGAAAAATAACAAACACTGCAAAAATATATTTACATACAGGCATAGCTCGAGGGCTTACACTATTTCATGTTTCACATGAATAATCAGAATGTTTTTGAAATATTGGAGAATTTGGATAGTTCTTTGTTAGAATAGGAAATAAATCAGATGTGCAATGCTAACAAGATACCATTCACAAGAAATATTCCAAAACAAATTATTTATTCCTGACAAAGATCTTCCCCTAAGTAATTTCAACATACAGTCTTTTTTTATACTTCGGAAAGCAAATTCGTTAGATATGCAACTCTAACAAGAAATTTAGCTTGTTAGATGTATTCTACAGCAAATGATGTTATTACAATATTTGTACACTTGACTTGAATCTGCCTCTAACTGTAATCAATAGCCTTCAGATCCTTGTAATCATAGTACTAATGGTAAACGGAGAACATCATTAAACATCTAAACCCAGTCAAACGTCAAATAAGCCCTTCCTCTGTTGCATTTCCTTTTTCTTTCATTATTTCTTAGTTTTTACAAACATGAGTGTGTTTTTATCTGTGATTTTATTGTAGCATACAGATAAATAAGACTGTAACAAAAGCAGAAATGATCCTAATGAACTAGTAGTTGTGTACCGTCTATCTGTACAGGCACTCACTAGCAAAGAAATTTCATTTCTTTTTTAGGATTCAGAATTTAATATAATTTTATATACCATGCACCAGAAAATCTTGCCTATTTCATTATGCAATAGCAAACAAGTCATATTTCACCCCTTTTAAAACCCAGTCATACGAAATGCAGCTGAATTATAAATATCTTAGTTTGGAGTTCACTTTCACAGGATGGGGGTGAAAAAGGTGAACAAACAAGAGGCCCAGGGGTCACATCGCTCAACTGAGCACTGTGGCTGGAAAAATCAGTTTAGTATTGAAAAGCTTAAATGCATAAGTGGTCCCAACCTACCCCTAAAAAGGAGTGGGGGGGGGGGGGGGGGGTGTGATTTGAACAAAATTAAATCTACACTAACTAAGGATGCTTACATAATTTTTGGACCAACTGTGACTTTTTTCTCTACAAGTTTGAACTTTCATTGTGGCCCCACCCTACCCCTGGAGGTCATGATTTGAACAAACTTGAATCTACACTATCTGAGGATGCTTCCATATAAATATGACAAACCGTGGCTTTGCTGTTCTTGAGAAGAAGATTTTTGAAGATTTTTCCTATATATTCCTATGTAAAACTTTGATCATTCATTGTGGCCCCACCCTACCCCCGGGGGTCATGATTTGAACAAATTTGAATCTAAACCACCTGCAGATGCTTCCATATAAATATGACCAATCACTGCTTTGCTGTTCTTGAGAAAAAAATTTTCAATGATTTTTCCTATATACTCCTATGTTAAACTTTGATCGTCCATTGCGGCCCCACCCTACCCCTGGGGGTCATGATTTGAACAAACTTGAATCTACACCACCTGAGGATGCTTCCATATAAATATGACCAATCAAAGCTTTGCTGTTCTTGAGAAGAAGATTTTTGAAGATTTTTCCTATATATTCCTATGTAAAACTTTGATCGTCCATTGTGGCTCCACCCTACCCCCGGGGGTCATGATTTGAACAAATTTGAATCTACACTACCTGACAATAATTCCACATGAGTTTCATCTTTCCTGGCCATTGGTTCTTGAGAAGAAGATTTTTCAATAACGCCATTAATTTTTTGCTATATAGTAATTATCTCCCCTTGGAGGAGGGCGTGGCCCTTCATTTGAACAAACTTGAATCCCCTTCACCCAAGGATACTTTGTGCCAAGTTTGATTGAAATTGGCCCAGTAGTTCTGGAGAAGAAGATGAAAATGTGAAAAGTTTGTGACAACAACGACGACAACGCAAACGATGACAGACAGACAAAGGATAAATTTCGATCAGAAAAGCTCACTTGAGCCTTTGGCTCAGGTGAGCTAAAAAGGGAAATAAAACTTTCATTATACACAGTAGAGACATAAAATTTACCTTTTCTACTCCTCTTCCATACATATACAGCATTCCCAGTCCTGTTTGACCCACAGGATTCCCCTGGAAACCAAGATTTAAAGTGATATCAATTAATAGAGTATACATTATAGAAAGAAACTGCTTTAAACATCACTGTGGCACTTGCAATGCATTTATTAAACAAAAAAGTGATATGACATTGCATGATAGTGTGGTCAGTTGAAAATTGCCTCCATACTAAGTAAACAAGCTACATTGAAAAGATATATTCCTTACTACTGTCAAACAGTTCAGCAAACACCACACAGACAAACAATTTAATCTAGAATGAACATCATCTGACTCTATACAATGCCTCCTGTCTTCAGCATAAATAACTCAATTAGTGGTTTAAATCTATTTAGCTCTTGCATGCACCTCTTTCTTTGCATGAAGACCAATGTACTATATTTTCATATTTTTATCTGTCAGAAGTAACAAAGAATTAGTTTACAAATTTTCAAGATATTCATCACACAAATATAACTCTAAATGCCTTTGAAATCTAAAGTGGCTAAAGCAATATGGTCAGTATTAATCATTATCAAGCATGTATCATTTACAAGTAATTTTAAATCAAATCATGAATAAGAGTAGGTCAAATAAAACACTGAAAGAGGTTTGGACAGAGGTCTCTCAACAAGTTGTTACCAAAATGTGAATAACATAATGAAAATCATAGTGGGTATGGCATGCTAAATTCTTAAAAAGAGCAGAACGGATAAAACAATTATCAGCAGTTTTTATTTAAAAGATGTGTCCAAGTATGATAATCTATAAGCCTATTTATATAAGAGAAGAGGATGTCTTCTGTTTTTAACTTTCTTCTGTACAGTACATATCTTGAGTACTAGGATTGTCCATAAAGTTTGTGGACAATGACGTTTCTGTTAAAGTGAATGGTCCTAGATATACTTACTGTATACCAAAGCAATTGTTATGAAAATCCAAGTCAGAATAGTTTGGATTCGGTTGTCTGAACTTAATACTTTTGTAAAAATCTCAGTCTTTAAAGGTTGGAGATAGTGCGCGTGGCCCAAGGTTAAAATGTCATGAGCTTCAAAATAAAGTTTTTGAATTAAAATGATTTATTTTCTTCATGAACCAAACCAAAACTTAATAAATCAAATGTGTCTAAAATAAAGCACTTGTAATCATTTTTTGATATCTTAAGTATCTCTTATAGGACAGAAAGAGAAAAAACACAAGAAACATGTTTCAGAAGTTGACAGAAAAAGCAACATCAGCCATCAGAATGGAACAGCATCCAATCATAAAATTATGTTTTAAAGAGGTTTGATTCTGAGCCATTGTGCAGATTTTTGTCTGGACTTCTATTTAAAAAATTCTGCATAATATTTTAGTTCTTACAATAAATTTGGATTCTACAATGCTAATTAAACTATATTCCATAGAAATCCCAAGGTTAAATTCCATATTAAAAGCATTAAGGGAGGAACTATATTTTGTGGTTTACAAGAAAATGATCACTTTTTTGTTTTGAAGTATTTACGGTACTGTTAAGTTTGGATTCCTATTTATCCACCAAGGCTGAACACAGATTTATTTTTAGCAGTGAACTGTTTTATACTGGTCCCAAATTATATATTAAATGCATCATATTGTGACAAATATAGCAAATAGATTGCAAAAGTCCAAAAAAAAGTCCATATTTAAGCTTAAAATTAGCATTATTTTAGTAATATCTGAAAATTTACAGACCCCAACTTTTTATTTTCTTTTCTGAATATATAAGATAATTTTAACCATTCTGCTTAAATTCAGTATGAGCTTAATACTTAAAAATGATTTTATTGCTTTCTAAATTATTAATTCCAGAAAAATGACATTTGTTGAATGCAGAAAAGTCAAATAATTGATTATGCAGAGTAATTTGAAAGTTTTTCATATAGTCACTAATTTTGATAAGACTGTATCTGGTCCCATGATTTATTTGAGGGAAAACTTCGAAAAAATGATTACCTGTTAGATGTAATTACAGAGCAAAAAGGTCATATTAAATGCTCTATAGCACCAAAAGAACTGCACTGACCCCCATATTTTGTTTTGATTTTTAGTTAAACTATGTGTGTAGATTCTTGAAATATACTTGATATAAAATTCTTAATACTTTTGATAGCAAGATCCAATCCCCTTAAGCAACTTTTTTGGAATATATTTAATTCATTGATTTGAAATTGGTATATACAGTGAAACCTGTCTTATCTGACATGCGGCAGGAAATAAAATCAATGTCGGATTAGACAGTGTGTCGAATTACCCAGTGTTGAATATTTCTAAGCATTATGATAAGTGTCAGACTTCATACAAAAAAAAATAATTTTCATTAGGTTTAAAGTACAGCATGCACACATGTATTTAACTGTCAAGGTGTTTGCATAATTGTGTGTTTATTTGTTGTATAAAATATAGCATCTCTTCAAGAAACAGTGTTAAACAGTTTGTGAAAGCATTAGTGATATGATGTTTTTTTCTAAAGAACAAAACAGATGGAACTGGCGATTGTTTCGAGTCGTTGCAATTTCATTTTTAGCATTTTACTTACTGACAGTTGATATTAAAGTAAATATTTTGTCTACCTTCTCTACACAGTAATATTGTTTTTTTTCTACACCACATTTCTCTCCGATTTTTCTCCATTGTTTACTTATCAACATAGGCTATGCTGCTAATACCATCACACAACTTTTCACACAAATGAGATTTTTCTCTAAAACATTGTGATTGTGATTGAATTTTAAAATTTAATTTTTATGGGCAACTTAAAGCAGTATTTTTGCTTTTGGCAGATCTTTTATGTGCACAGCCTTGCTCAATTCAGTTTATATTAACCCTGACATGAAACGTGTTCTATTAAAAAAGATGCTGCATTCAAAATGTGTATTGTTCACATTACAAAGTAGTTCGCCATTCATATTTTTTGGCGGCATGGCTTTAAAGAAGGACTCTGCATGACTGTAAGTTTTATTTTCATTTCAAGCTAAAAATCTTATTCATTCTGTAAGGTAAAGGCAATCTAAATATCATTTACTTTTTTATTTCATTTCCTGTTGCATGGATGCTATTTGTCAATGTGAGAATAAAAATGATAACAACAAAGAGAATTGATTGCCAAATTTTTTAATTCAAAAAGTTTTCATTTATTGCTTAAGTAAACACTTTTAAAATCATACAATCATGTAATTAACTACTCTCTCAGTAGACCAATCATGTGACCAAATGGGACATTAAAGTTACCTGGCCAGCAGCTATTTATGGTACACCCGTCTAATTATGTCCGATTGTTGACAAAAAACGCCCGATTTTGGAATGCACAGTGGTCAGAATACACAGTGTTTTATTCTATATGAATTATCAAGAAATTTTGGGGAATAAAATATGAGGTCTGAAAGTCCAATGTGCCGGATTGGACAGTGTGCACCATATAATTTTTCAACTGTGTGAACAATTGGAGGGTCACAACAAGAAGTTGAAAACTACTGTTATTTGATGAAATTAGGATATTCCTATGCAGGATGTTGTTCTAAATTTAGTGAAGCATTGGACTGGACTGTGCAGCCAGTATATACAAAGTGTTTATACTGATGATGCCTGCAAATTTACCGTATATTATTTTGAATTTTCAATACTGAACTCTCTTATTCAGAATGTTTTAGGACATACATGTATATGAAATGCAAACTCAGCATTCAATAAAACTCCAAGGTATTGAATGCTAAAATTCTCTAAACTTTTAGTAGTCTTTTTTTTTCTTTTTTTTTTTTAATTACAGACCATTTATTAGCTATATAGTAAATAAGTCTATTAATATTCTCATGATTAAAAATACTCTTATACAAGGAAGATTTTAATATGATATACAGACAGAAGTCTGGAGCCATACCTTGTCAGCAGCTTTTTTGAAGTAATTAAATGCTGTCTCATTACTTTGTTTTACTGCAGGGCTGCCCTCTGAGTACATCTGTAATATAAAAAAAAATGTACCATGTACCATTAAACTGCCTAAAGGAAGTAAAACGACTATAGTTATACAGAGCTATTGACTGTTTATATTGTACCCTGTGTGTGCAACTGACCTTTCCAAGAAAAGCGAAAGCATTGGCATTACCAGACTCTGCTGCCATAAGGAAATAGTGCAGGGCTCTCTGAAATAATTTAAAGTAAAAGTATACATCATGTACTGATACAATAAAACTCTGATTTGATTTACAACCAGAAGTCTCTGACAAGACTGTAGCTCTACTGGTTGTACTTATAAAGGAAGATAGAAGTAGCACTTGGACTTGAAACATTGCAACAGCAATAAATAGAATAATTATCCTTGGTTTAGTCTCTTTTTGTGGCAAGATTTATTGCAATCAGACTAAAACTGTAGGGGGAGTAGCCTTTTAAAACAATTTTACAGAAATTTCGATTTAAGTAACCATGGCAACATCATTCAGCAAAATCAAAAAAACAATAACATCCATTATGTATCTCTGTGTAGTCTAATTGTATGTCAAGTTATACTGAAATCAGACAAAAAGTGTAGGAGAAATAGCGTTTTGAAAGTATTTTAAGAATATTTCTATTTTTAGTAACCATGGCAACACTGTTCATCAAAATCCAAAACTGTTACAGAGAATTATGTATCTTAGTGTAGTCTACTTGTGTGCTAAGTTATACTAAAATCAGACTAAAACTGTAGGAGGAGTACCATTTTCAAGGTATTTCATGGAAATTTCTATTTTTAGTAACCATGGCAACTCCATTCAATGAAATCAAAAACCGATAAATAGAATTATGTATCTTAGTATAGTCTACTTGTGTGCCAAGTTATATTGAAATCAGATCAAAACTGTAGGAGGAGTAGTGTTCTAAAAATTTTTCACAGAAATTTCTTTTAGTAACCATGGCAACACTGTTCATTGAAATCAAAAACCCATAAACAGAATTATGTATCTTAGTATAGTCTACTTGTGTGCTAAGTTATATTGATATCAGACCAAAACTGTAGGAGGAGTAGCATTTTGAAAGTATTTCCCAGAAATCTCTATTTTTGTGACCATGGAAACACCGTTCATTGAAATAACAAGAGGCCCATGGGCCACATCGCTCACCTGAGCACATTGGCTAGAATAATAAGCAAAAATCAGTTCAGTATTGAAAAGTTTATGGGGGTGGGGGGGGGGTTGAATTTTAAACTACCTTATGATGCTTTAATATCACTATAACAAATGGCTTTGCTGTTCTTGAGCAGCAGATTTTTTCCCCCATATTCATTTGTAAAACTATGATCCCCCATTGTGGCCCCACCCTACCTCCTGGGGCCCTCATTTGAACAAATGAACAAATTTCATTCTACACTCCCAAGGATGCCTCCATATTAATTTGACTAATCATGGCTTTTCTGTTCTTGAGAAAAAGATTTTTTCCTATATAATCCTCTGTAAACTTTGATCCCCCATTGTGACCCAATCCTATCCCGGGGGGGATGGGGGGGGGATGTCATGACTTGAACAAACTTCAATCTACACTACCTGAGGATGCTTCCATATAAATATGACCAATCATGGCTTTGCTGTTCTTAAGAAAAAGATTTTTAAAGATATTTTCTTATATATTTCTATGGAAAAATTTGATCCCCCTTTGTGGCCCCACCCTACCCCCGGGGGTCATGATTTGAACAAACTTGAATCTACACTACCTTAGGATGCTTCCATATAAATATGACCAATCATGACTTTGCTGTTCTTAAGAAGAAGATTTTTAAAGATATTTTCCTATATATATTTCTATGTAAAACTTTGATCCCCCTTTGTGGCCCCACCTTACCCCCAGGGGTCATGATTTGAACAAACTTGAATCTACACTACCTGAGGATGCTTCCATATAAATATGACCAATCATGGCTTTGCTGTTCTTAAGAAGAAGATTTTTAAAGATATTTTCCTATATATTTCTATGTAAAACTTTGATCCCCTTTTGTGGCCCCACCCTACCCCCGGGGGTCATGATTTGAACAAACTTGAATCTACACTACCTGAGGATGCTTCCATATAAATATGACCAATCATGACTTTGCTGTTCTTAAGAAGAAGATTTTTAAAGATATTTTCCTATATATTTCTATGTAAAACTTTGATCCCCCTTTGTGGCCCCACCCTACCCCCGGGGGTCATGATTTGAACAAACTTGAATCTACACTACCTGAGGATGCTTCCATATAAATATGACCAATCATGGCTTTGCTGTTCTTAAGAAGAAGATTTTTAAAGATATTTTCCTATATATTTCTATGTAAAACTTTGATCCCCCATTGTGGCCCCACCCTAACCCCGGGGTCATGATTTGAACAAACTTGAATCTACACTACCTGAGGATGTTTCAACATAAGTTTCATTTTTCCTGGCCCAGTGGTTCTTGAGAAGAAGATTTTTAAATGATGCCATGATTTTTTCACTAATTCCTAATTATCTCCCCTTGAAAGAGGGCGTGGCCCTCCATTTGAACAAACTTGAATCCCCTTTACCCAAGAATGCTTCATGGCAAGTTTGGTTGAAATTGGCCCAGTGGTTTTGGAGAAGAAGTCAAAAATGTGAAAAGTTTACAGACGGATGGACAGACAGACAGACAGATGGACAGATGGACGACAGACAAAATGTGATCAGAAAAGCTCACTTGAGCTTTCAGCTCAGGTGAGCTAAAAAAACAATATAAAGAATTATGTATTTTAGTGTAGTCTATTTATGTGCCAAGTAATATTGAAATCAGACCGAAACTGTAGGAGGAGTAGCATTTTGAAAACTTGTTTACAGATGGATGGACAGCTAGACAGACAGGCAGACGGACACCTTACTATCGCATAAGCTCCTCTGGTCTCTGACCAGTAGAGCTAAAAATATCCAATTTAAAATATTAAAGCAATCTTCCTTCTCTTTGATAAAAATAAAATAAAATGACAAAAATAAAAAGTTTAAAAGAAATTGATTGATTATTGGAACTTCGTCCGATTCTTTAAATATCATTTTCATTATGTTGAAACAGCTCTTTAAAAGAAATCTTTTATCTATTTTTTTTTTAAAATTTCAGTGATAATTAAGTTGTGTGTCCTACCTCATGATTGATGCCCACACCCCGCCCTCCCTGGAAGTACAGCTGACCCAGCACCACCTGAGCCTGGACGTCCCCTTTGTCTGCCAGGAAGTGGTAATACTGAAGCAGATCATCATCCATCATCATGCTCTGTCCAGTAACCTGATTCTCTGCCTCTTCCTGGAGTCGAATTCTCTGTACAACGGGGCCCCCTGAGAGGGTCACTGCATCTGCCACTAATATAGAAAGCATAAAATCTAGTCTGAATAAAGGCTACTGGACATTATGTAAAATAGGCTTAAAGATACATAGTACTAGATGAAATCCCGTGCAGGCGCGGGGAATTAAATTTATTCCGTTACCGACAGAAAATATATTGTAGTTTCTACCGACAGCCTACAGGCTTATAGCAGGAAGAAATACTTTGTTCAAAATCCCGCATGAAGTAGATGTACATGTACGTCTCCACCCCCACCCACCCCCCTTTTTGTAAAAAATTGAAAAATAACAATTTCATTAATTGACGTTTATTGTGAAACCTGCTATACTATATTATGGATATTGTACTTCAGATGCTCCTGTTTCATTTCCGTCAAGGATAAAATCAGCGAATATACACATTTTACTGATAAATTATTTTTGGGGGGGGGGGGGGGTTTAAAAATTCACAGGTACTTGAGTCTTGGTTCATAAATAT